TGTTCTTGGGCAATAAATCGGTACATAGCGTTACTCTAATTTAGATTGTCGTAAGTTATGACATGGAATGGAAAATACAAACCGAATTATGTAAACGAGGATAAGAGAAGATATAATTACCTACATTTTCCAAAAATATCTTTTTCTTCACCACCACTTAAACCAACTATCGCGTATCCGGGTGTATCACGTAATACCATTTCTTTTATCATGTTGTGATTGGTTAATTAAGCCAATTAAATAAATTACAACACTATTTGTTGTTTTTACCTTCGACACATTTCTTTCGTAAATTAGAATCCAATCCGCCTTGTACAATAGTAAATAAATTTTCTTCAACCCATTTTCCAGTTATTAATGATGATACTACATCATCTAATTGCATTATAATGTCAGCCCGATAGAATTTTGTAAAAATATAGAATGCTCTGACGTGAGAACATTGTTGATCCGTCATCATGTGGTGATTGAAATTCTACCCCTTGTTCTGTTATCTTCGCCAATTTTAACAGAGAAACCATTTGAAAACCTCCACTATCCTGTTAAACGAGTTATAGAAAGTTGACAAAAAAAGCTAATTATTAATTAAATCATTGATAATTAGATCTCTTACAGTTAACAAATTCCGACTCCAATTCTGAAAATTATGCGAGCCACCAATTTGTTCAAGTAATTCTTGTCCTGGTCTTAAGCCCTAATAATCGAATATAAATATTATTTAAGACTCATCTTGTATTTAAGAGCAAATTTTTAGTGTAAATACCAAATGATATGTATTATTCAACATTATTTGACAACCAATTCTTCCAGTTGTTTTGATGTTATGCCTTTTAACGTTCCTTGAGTTCCAACTTGCATAAATACTGGTGTATCAACGGGTTCATGAGGTAACGGTAATTGTAATTTGCCCACTTGAGCTTTTGTGGCCGAGCATTTGGCTATGATTTCCCAGGCCAAAGCGGACTTCATAAGTGTGATTAACGTTTCATCACCCAATAAAATGTAAAATAAAATTTCACGTGATAAAAAGAAAAAATGTCAAATTTGATCATTCTGATTTGTAATATCGATAATTTGTCCACCCTACGATGAGATCACAATATGGAAGAATTTCTTTGATCAAAAACATACGATGCACATTCCGATCCCCATGATGATACGGAAAGACATTTAAAAATTGGCGAGTTGAAAACTTCCAGACTTTGCTTAATGGAGACACGTTTTGAAGGCTTGAGACATGATCTCACAATTGAATGCAAAGTTTCAAAGCAAGGTTGTACCCTGCTTTGGTAATGATTTAAAATATTTTTATTCGTTACATGATAAACAACTATTACGAACTCCTAATAATGAAATTTGCGACAAAGGTTTTCATCCTTGGTTTGCTTACCTATTATCTCTTGAAAATGATCCACCGGAAAATGAAACTCATTACCGTTCAGTTTTGAACGACATTGGTCCTAAAAACTCTATAAATTGTAATATAGAGTAATTGTTTGCATTTCTACCTCCACAAAGCCATTAAATGTTTGGAAACTAATAAGTCGGCACTTATTGGTGAGGTTGGTTTAGATTAGTGATGCCGGCATAACCTTTTATCGTTACTATGATTTAGATTTTATCGCAAATTTTAACATATATCGTAGTTAAAATTGTTTAAAATTGTTAAAATAAAAACGATTTATCCGACAAACTCTTATGATCATGAATTTATTTCTGTCTGTTATTTTCCATTCCATGTCATAACTTACGACAATCTAAATTAGAGTAACGCTATGTACCGATTTATTGCCCAAGAACA